GTGGCATACGGTGAAGATGCTGTGTGGGACACTCTGCCCCACATCAGAGTGTGCCTGGTCCTGTGTCTCGGCTCAGCTCCATATTCCAGCTGCCGGCTAATGCGTACCCTGGGAGGCAGCTCAAGTACTTGGGTCCCTGCCACACCCATGGGAGACAAGGACTGAGTTGCTCCAGGCTCCTGACACTGAAGGGGCCTGATTCTAGCTATTGTGGGCATGTGGGGAGTGAGCCAGGGGACAGAAGAGCTCTCTGGGTTTGTCTCTGTTTTTCTCTGTTGCTGTGTCTTTCAATTCAATAAATAGTAAGTAAATAAATCTTTATAAAAATAGGGATTTGTATCTTCTGGGAATAGAACTGAGTGTTAGAATTTACTTTCAAAAGATACAGCCCATGGCGCTCTCTCAGAGACACACCGCTCTGTGGAGGGCTGTGCAGGGACTCTCGCGCAGGGTTAGGTGCAGGCTGCTGGGCTGGGGAGGGTGCAGCCAGGGTGCCGGGCCCTGCCCTACATTCCACACAGGCAGCCCCTGGTTAAGCTGTGCAGATCATGAGTGAAATCTCTTCCACTCCCAGCCTTGCCTCCCGATTCTGCAGTCTACGGAAGAGTATGGGGGCATCCAACTGGCTCCTCCTCAGCAGAGTGCATGAGGGGGTGGAATGAGAAGGACATGCCAAGATGGCCGCTGGCAAGCAAGCGTCAGTTACTGAGGAATGGCTTCGGAAACCACCTGGCAACACATCCTGCCTGGCAACAGGCTGTGATTGGTTGGGGCATAGACCGCCCCTTGACTGGATTGGCTGCCTTGGCTATATAAGCTGCTGCACCAACTGAAATAAACGAGTCTGCGGGCTGCTCACCTCAAGCCTGCTTTCACCCTACTCCCGGGGTCTGTGTGGTGACTCTGCGCCTCTGCCCCCACCACATTCCTCCTCTCAGAACGAATCTACATCAACATGGGGGCTGGAGAGAAAGGCCTGTTAGGACGACCTTGAACTCAGGGCTTCATCACACATGAGACTCGAGACATCGGCACTCACTGCTTACCCAGCCAATCCCTCGACAGCCGTTATTCCAAGTCCACCAAGCACTGGCAAATCAGGAAAGCAGAGGTGCAGCTCCAGGCTGTGCACAGAAGGGCTGAATGGTGGGGGGTAGATGCGTTGGTAGAGGGCTGGGAAAGTGAGCGCAGGGCAGATGATTTCATATCGAGGGGAATGAGGAATAAAACACACTGCACACCACGTTATGATAATGTGACGACATCCTCGCCTCACAGGGAGGGACTTCATTTAGGCCAGGCCTGCTCAACCCAAGCAAGGTGTCCCCGGAGCATGTGGGCACTGGCTGGAGAGGGAGGAACAGGTTTCAGAAGCAGTTTTTCCAGTGAGCTGGAGATTTTGCCTACGTGGATCAGTTCACTTTAAAAATGATAAATGCAAAAGTTCCCAAATTCTATCCACAAAAGCAACCTGAACCTGCTCTGTAACAATCTGGAGAGGAGCAGACAGTCCTGTAAGACTGTCCTAAGGATACCATCAGGTAAAGTATGGAACTGAAGATGAAGGGGAGGGACAGGAAGTGCCTGTGGCATGGCACGGGGAGACGGGGGTGGGGCGCTCCCCTGGGGGCCACACACCTGCTGAGAACCAAGGGTCTGCAGGAGGCAGCCAGGGGCAAGGGAGGGAGAAGCTCCCCAGGCAGCGGGGCCACAGGGCAGGCCCGGCTCAAAGGCAGTTTGTCACCTTAGAGAAATCAGCATGAGACCATGGGAATGAATTTGAGATTTATTCCAAGAGCAGGAGATGGCATAAAACAGGAAAGCAGAGTGATCTAATTTCCATTTTGAAAAGATTACTCTGGCAGTTTTACGACAAAGGGGGTAGAGCCGGGCAGGGACGGGTAAGTCACAGCCACAACTTGCCGACTGCCACCGGGCACCCAGCAAACCTCACTGCTCCAAGAGCAGGCAGGGCAAAGGGGTCCACTCACAGTGCACGGGGCTGGATTTTTTTTTTTTTTTTTTGACAGGCAGAGTGGACAGTGAGAGAGAGAGACAGAGAGAAAGGTCTTCCTTTGCCATTGGTTCACTCTCCAATGGCCGCTGTGGCCAACACACCACGCTGATCCGATGGCAGGAGCCAGGTGCTTCTCCTGGTCTCCCATGGGGAGCAGGGCCCAAGCACTTGGGCCATCTTCCACTGCACTCCCTGGCCACAGCAGAGGGCTGGCCTGGAAGAGGGGCAACCGGGACAGAATCTGGCGCTCCGACCCGGACTAGAACCTGGTGTGCTGGCGCCGCAAGGCAGAGGATTAGCCTAGTGAGCTTCGGCGCCGGCCAGCAGGGCTGGATTTTTAGCTGGGGGAACAAGAATGTACAAACAATACTGACGTAAAGGCATAATCTCATTGTAGCAGGGCTCTGGCCCTCCTGGCCCACTTGTCGGGTAGTTATGTGGAAGGAGACACACTTATCCAATTTTCTATTGACACTAAACTACGAGGACAATCAATAAGTCAGATAGAAAAAAAGATTTAAAACAATTTTAAATGTGATGGAACAAGGGGTCACTGTTCAGAAGGTGAATTTAATAGGGACAGATACGATCGTCGGAATTTAGGTTAACAAAAGAACATGTCTGGGTAGGTCTGGATTAACAGCAATCCATGAAAAGTCAAGTCTTGGATTTCACATGACTACAAGGTTACAGTGAGAGACTGGCGTTCTAAAATTGAGTGTGATTTCTCAGCTGTGTTGATCATGGGATAATACTATTTGCAGCAACAGTCCAAAGGTCGGGACAGCAGCATGGCATTGCGCACGTTCTGCAGAGACACAGCAGGAGCGATGAGCTAAGGGAATGCAGCGGGCTGGGAAGACCCTGCAGGTGACGTCGAGAACTTGAAGAAGGACCTGACAGGTTCCGGGTATCTGAAGCCTGACAAGTCCCAAAGACGGAAGTGGGAGTGCAGGCGGTGGAGACAGAGATACCTGGCTCCACATCAAGGAAGAGATGCCGGGTCTGTTCTGGAACAACTACAACCACCCACGGTGCATCGGGGGTTCTGTACGAGCAGCTGACCCCTCTGTCACCAGCAGTCCCGTCAGGCACGGATCGGGAGGGAGGCTGAAATGCACACGCAAGGAGGCTCACACAGCCTGTGCCTGTGGCTGACCACTGAGAGACCAGGGCACAGCCTGCGCCTCTAGCTGACCACTGTGAGACCAGGGCACAGCCTGCGCCTCTAGCTGACCACTGTGAGACCAGGGCACAGCCTGCGCCTCTAGCTGACCACTGTGAGACCAGGGCACAGCCTGCGCCTCTGGCTGACCACTGTGAGACCAGGGCACAGCCTGCGCCTCTAGCTGACCACTGTGAGACCAGGGCACAGCCTGCGCCTCTAGCTGACCACTGTGAGACCAGGGCACAGCCTGCGCCTCTGGCTGACCACTGAGAGACCAGGGCACAGCCTGCGCCTCTGGCTGACCACTGAGAGACCAGGGCACAGCCTGCGCCACTGGCTGACCACTGAGAGACCAGGGCACAGCCTGCGCCTGTGGCCGACCCACTGTGAGACCACTGGCAGGGTCTTAGGCCAGACCGTTCTGTTTAAACGATGGTTTTTGAATAGGAGACTTTGAGGTTCCTGGAAGTAAAAACGCCTGGACTTTTACAGGATCACTTGAGGCTGCTAATTCATTTGTTCAGTGTAAGTTAGAAACAAAGACAGGTAATGCTATATCAATCTCCACTTTGTCATAGATGTTGTTCAACATTTCCTACACCATGAACTCCAAAATCCAAAGAATTACAAGACTTATTGAATACTGAGATTTTTTCGACTCACGATTCAGTGATTATTCCCCAAGCCAAATGTTAAGGTTCATTTGTCATAATTAAAAACTAAGCGCAGATATTAGAGCCGCATGGCACCAAGAGAAATAAACACGCTGGTTCTGGAGCACTCAGACACACTGCGCACACCTGAGGTCGCTCAGGCGCCCGCTCGGAGACATTCACAAACAGAGTGATCCCGGGATCCCATAAACACGTAATACCCAGAAAATTCATTTCTCAGCTAACAGAAACGCCACCAAACAGCAGCAACAGATTAAACACTAGATATTAGGTATATCTGACGTGGAGTCCCAGAGAGGATTCTGTTAATGAGAATATTCCACAATGCTACTGCCAACAGACATAGTAATGATGACACCGCCGGCATCAGTGCTCTGCTTGGGAGCTGAGACGTGGCAAGAGGAGACGCGTGATGACTTGCGGATGCCCAGCCCTGAAAACATGGCCGCAGACAACCCGCACAGGCATCTGCACTCAAATCCACTCGACGCTCTTCCCGCGGATTGCACTTGCAACTTAGCTCCGAGTTCCACTTTCTCTCAAGTATTCATGGATGTTTATTACACAGTGGTCATACGTGATGGCACTTTCTTAAATGCTTTACACCAGAAATATTAAATGTAATACCTTGACTCTGTTTTTTCTTATAATTTTAGCAGTTTTAAATTTTTTTTCTATCCCATGAAATGAGGGAAAAATTACAAAATTATAGTAATAATTGATTACTGATTTTTCCCCCAACTCACAGTACCTGTCATACTCTAGATGTACTAATCAAAGTGCTGCTCTTACTACGACTGAGTGACTGGCAGTTTAGCTACTTGCTTATACATCTTCCATTTAAAATGGGCATATGGCAATTTTTGTGTACATAAATGTATACATATGCAAATTCCATGGTATATGAATTTATGTGTACACAAAGCATCAAAACCAAACCCCCTCAATCCTTAGGACAGCAGAAGCACACATCTCGCCACGCACATCTGCAATTTATCCTACAAAGAAGACAGCCCCTAAATATGTAAAAAAAAAAAAAAAGAAATCATATAACAAATTAAAATGCTTGGTTTTTGAAAAGAAAGTCTTCTAAAGGCATGAACACGCACAGTCCCACGTGCAGCATATCATCGCTACTCACAGGCAAACTGGAGCTTTGCTTCTCTGCTCACGACTGTTCCGAACGAGTTGGTTGCTATGCACTGGTACGTTCCGGCATCTTGGGTCTTATTGGGGTTATTGATCAACAGACTGCCTTCCACAACACTGTAGCGGAAATCCATACCAACGTCAACATCTGTTCCATTTAACTTCCACCTAAAGTGTAAAAACGCCAGAAGATAAAGCCTTGTAATATTAGTCAATATTTCAGGATTGTCTAAAATATCTAAAAACTACAAATCATCAGTGACATTTTTTAAAGCGTGACAAAAAATAAAGCATAAGAAACACACCCAGTACCTGCGGCGTCTTACACACGGATGGACGGAACACGTCCTGTAATGTGTGAGCTACTGAAACCACGGCTCCTGCTCTGGGCCTACTTACGAAGCCAGAGCCCTTCATCGGGGGCCGGGGTGGTTTCCCACTGCGTGTGCAGCTGTCTCCGAACAGGGCTCCTCAGTGAAAAGCCGCTTCGATAGCCTGTGGTCCTGCTTCAGTGGGTCCTACAGGTGGCAGAAGGAGAGACTGCGCCGTAGGATGAAACGCAGCACGGCTGCTTGGCTCCGACGCCTGATGGGACTGAAGTGCTGACTGCGAGGTGGAGGGGCTCCATCGACCTGCAGTGCGAGGGGGGGCCAGCCTGCCGCACCCGGGTTCCACTTGGAAGATCTTGGCCACGGGAGCTCAGACGCCAGCAAGCTGCAGCCGGGGCCATCAGGGAACTGAGAAAGACAGGGCTCGGCTCCCTTCTGAGCATTTGCTGCGGTCACTTCTGTGTCTGACCGTTTAGCCCGACAGATGAGTTCCGTGGGATCGATCCATTTCAACAGCCAGCCCCCAGTAACAGCACTGACCTTCTGAGCTCTGCTTTTACAGCTTACGCTGCTCAGAGTGAGGGCTCATGCCAACCCCATCTCCTTCCAGGGAGTCTCCTGAATTCCTAGGAACTTTGAGCTCAGAAAATGGCATGACCCTCTTATGTTTTATTCCCACTCCTCGAAAATCCTCCACGGAGCATTGGTCATGAAGACACCATGGCTGGAGCTTACAAAGTGTCAAGAGTGGTGCAACAGCGATCACACCGGGAGACCAAAAAACAAACAAACAAACAAACAAACAAAACAAAACAAAAAGAGGGACGCTACAGCAGAAGGGGAACTGCCTCCAGGCAGCAGCAGGAAGCCCATTTACCTCAAATGGTACAATCACCACGTCAGCGCATGCATGCGTGTGTATGTCAGCACATGTACATGTGTGCATGTCAGCACATGCATGCATGCGCCCAGAACCCCTGTGTGTCCTCAGGGTGTCCTGGCTGTGTGTGCACGACAGAAACACGCAGTCACTTTCAAGACTTCAGGCATCTAGTATCAGCAAACGGCAACACACGAAGACCTGAGCTTGCTTTCTCCCAAGACCCCTTCTCCTGCTTCTGTCCATCTCAGGTGACAGGACTCCAAGGACATTGGCCTTGAAGTTCCTGGGAGAAGTTGATCAAGGCTCTGCTCCACCTGCCAGACGCTCCCTGCTCCTCTAAGGAGGAATTCTGCCTGCATCATTTTCAGCTCTCACGTCTGCCAGCTGGACGTTGACGCTCTCATCGGGTTCAGGAAGCGCTTGTTGAACCTGACTAAACGTTTACTTTTTCCTGGACAGCTGAGCCATGAAGCCTTTTACTACACAGCAGTGCAGCAGCTCATGCTGGGTCACCTCTTTTTTTTTTTTTAAGATTATTTATTTATTTGAAAGTCAGAGTTACACACAGAGAGAAGGAGAGGAAGATAGAGAGAGAGAGGTCTTCCGTCCGCTGGTTCACTCCCCAGTAGGCTGCAACAGTCGGAGCTGCACTGATCCGAAGCCAGGAGCTTCCTCCAGGTCTCCCACGTGGGTGCAGGGGCCCATGGACCTGGGCCGTCCTCCACTGCCTTCCCAGGCCACAGCAGAGAGCTGGATGGTTAGTGGAGCAGCTGGGACCCGAACTGGTGCCCACAGGGGACACCGGGACTGCAGGCAGCGGCTTCACCCACTACGCTACAGCGCTGGCCCCCACATCTCTGTCTTTGAAATGTAACAATTCAGGAACAGGAGGGGTGGGTAAGGTGGGCCAGCAGGGGAAGACAGGGACACAGCTGTGTGTGCTTGTAAGCGGGTGAGGACTGGACACTGACAGCGCTCTCAGGCTCCACGGTAATTCTGTCCACTTTGACACGGACACGGGAGTGAGACGCGAGAGGACAGCGGGTTCCATTCCAGCAGCCACAAACACGTGGACCTCCACGACTCTGCCTCAGACATTCTTCTTTGGTCAGCTCATCACGTCTCGGCCGTAACTCCCTCTTCAGTGATACAAGGGCAACTCAATATGTCACATCTAAGGACTCAAAGAGGAAGCTCCAATACGATGCGAGTGGCGAGCTGAATATGGAATCCAGGGAGGGGCCGTGTGGCTCTTTAAAACCGTGGCTGGGGGACGACGGCGAGGTCTCTGAGGGCTCTACACAGTCTACAGGACTCAGCGCAACCGAACCCCAGAGCACCAAGTCCAGGGATCAGCCTCATGGCCGGTTCTGGGACCGAGCGCTCTCCGAGGACTGCAGTCAAGTCTGTTACAAAGCCGCACCACAGCGCGGCCGCTGCTCCCTCCAATCGGAAGTGGGCTGCAATGAAGTCCTTATCCACTGCATACAGACGCATCCGGAAAACTCACAACGGACTTCCAGTGTCTGAGTATTTGTATGCGAGTGCAGAGGCGACCGGCGAGTCCTGGACGTTGAGTTCTGCGCTGACTTCTCCCGTGCAGAACCTGACAAAGACACGGGGAAGCTTTGGAGAGTTCCTTGCTGGGAAGCTAAGGGATTTGTAGAAAACCCGCTTTCTTTGCTAGCTGTTTCGGCTCGGCACTCAGGGAGAGGCAAGGCCTTTCCGACTTGAGCTTTTCTTCCATCCACCCAGCTGAGCGCTCCAGCCGGTGCCGGAGTGTTTCTTCTGCCTGCGAGGGATGCTGAGGGCACCGAGCAGGGTCAGACGCGTTCTTGGGGGACTCGCACGCGAGTGAAGCTGGCACAGTTCTAAGCTTCTTACGTTTTTCTGGGTCTGGGTCAATCCTTTCAAGATTGAGGGGCAGGAAGCAGTGAAAAGAGGAGGCTGGGTTGAGGGAACAGACTCAGCGGAGAGAGGTCAGCGGGGTCTCTGAGAGAGAGACCTGAAGAAGAGCAGCCCCAGGGAGAGCCCGCGTGGGAATCCCTCCCGCTCACGCCGGCCCCTCCGAGTCAGCCGGAGGAGGGAGGAGGTTCGGCCAGGAAGGTGGCTGAGGATTCCGGATCTCTCTCCTGCTCTGGCTCTCTCTTCGCTCCGGGGCACCAGCTTGCTGCTGCGTCACAGGAAAGCACAGAAGGGATTCGGGCAGGCAACAACGTGCCGTGCAATGACCTGCGAGTGTATCTGATTACACGTGGTCTCAGCTTTCCCTTGCAACCTTTAACAACTGAACAGGTTCCCGTTCCATTGCCTGTCTCAAATGACCAGGCAAACCCCTCTGTCTAGAAATACTCTGCTACAAAAGCAGTGTTAATCAGAGGTCCCAGTTGGGAGAAAATGAAGCAGCGACCTGCCGAAGTCTGCGGCAAAATTTGTTTTCACGGGAGGGTAACAGCTGAACGTGCGTTTGGCAGGGAGCTGACAATCGGGAGCGGAAACTCATTTATTCTGGATCCTGTCTCCTTGGTCTCCTACATTGACCTCGACCGTGCAAAGCACTTCTGAATCTGATTCAGTCTTGAGTTGAGTATTATAGGGGACACCTATGCACCCTTGTTTGCTCCGGGTAGTGCCGGGCTCACCTTCTCTCCTGGAGGAACTGCTAACAGCGGCTGTCGCTCTCCAAGCTGTCCTGGTGGGCATGATAAATGCTATGCTCACCCTAATTACCGGGTCCACCAGGCAGCTGCAGGCTTTCTTTCTGGAATGCACTTCCCTTCCTTACCCATAAGGCCACTTTCCCGCCTCGGACAGCATCAAAGCACGAAGCCTTCCTGCATCCGCCCTCCTCATCCTGTGTCAGATGTCTCTGGTGTTTGGCCAAGACGCCCTAGAACCTGGCGTCTTCACGGATCTCCACACGGAACCCCAGCTTCCTCCGCAGTGAGGTGCTGGGCAAACTCTGCCGCCAGCCAAGCATGCTGTGGGTCACTAGCGTTTGAAGTCACCCAGGCGCTGCAGCTGGGGGCTGCAGGGGCACTGGGCTTCAACACTTGCCCAAACAACACAACTCTCGTCCTAGCCTGGACCCCTAAGTCCCAGCGTCCGTCCTAGCCTGGACCCCTAAGTCCTGGCGTCCATCCTAGCGTGGACCCCTAAGTCCCGGCGTCCGTCCTAGCCTGGACCAGCGTCCATCCTAGCGTGGACCCCTAAGTTCCGGCATCCATCCTAGCGTGGACCCCTAAGTCCCGGCGTCCGTCCTAGCGTGGACCCCTAAGTCCCGGCGTCCGTCCTAGCCTGGACCCCTAAGTCCCGGTGTCCATCCTAACCTGGACCCGTAAGTCCCAGTATCCATCCTAGCGTGGACCCCTAAGTCCTGTGGTCGTCCTAGCGTGGACCCCTAAGTCCTGTGGTCGTCCTAGCGTGGAACCCTAAGTCCTGTGGTCGTCCTAGCGTGGACCCCTAAGTCCCGGCATCCATCCTAGCATGGACCCCTAAGTCCCGGCGTCCGCCCTAGCCTGGACTCCTAAGTCCCGGCGTCCATCCTAGCCTGGACCCGTAAGTCCCAGCATCCATCCTAGCCTGGACCCCTAAGTCCCGGCGTCCATCCTAGCGTGGGCCCCTAAGTCCCGGCGTCCGTCCTAGCCTGGACCCCTAAGTCCCGGCGTCCGTCCTAGCCTGGACCCCTAAGTCCCGGCGTCCATCCTAGCGTGGGCCCCTAAGTCCCGGCGTCCGTCCTAACGTGGACCCCTAATTCTTGGCGTCCGTCCTAGCGTGGACCCCCAAAGTCCCGGCGTCCGTCCTAGCCTGGACCCCTAAGTCCCGGCGTCCGTCCTAGCGTGGGCCCCTAAGTCCCGGCGTCCGTCCTAGCGTGGGCCCCTAAGTCCTGGCGTCCGTCCTAGCGTGGACCCCTAAGTCTTGGCGTCCGTCCTAGCCTGGACCCCTAAGTCCCAGCGTCTGTCCTAGCATGGACCCCTAAGTCCCGGCGTCCGTCCTAGCCTGGACCCCTAAGTCCCGGCGCCCGTCCTAGCCTGGACCCCTAAGTCCCGGCGCCCGTCCTAGCCTGGACCCCTAAGTCCCGGCGTCCGTCCTAGCGTGGACTCCAGTTCAAGGCAGAGCTGCTGGGGTGGGGGGAACCTGCTTCTCTCCACGCCAGGGACGCGAGACTGGTGGGGCTTGAGGGCGGCTGAATGCAGGCTGCACGGATGGGGGATGCGGAGCAGAAACTGACCGTGGAGACCCTCTCCCCTGGACTCTTGCCACCTGTTTGCAGCAAGCCCCCTCTGCTCCGTGCCTGCTTTGAGAAGCAGCGTCTTGGTTCGAATTCCACTGATGACTGCAGTCTCGCTGGACCGAGGATCTAGTCTCTGGTTTTTACCTGTGACTGTGTAGTGGCTCCTAGCCTTCCATTCAATCTGTCATTAAACCTGAACAGAGCTGTCTTTGTTAAGTCACACTCAAGCTACTAGGAGCAGGGAGGCCATGAGGATATCTGAGAAAAAGTTATGTTGTCACAGCTTTCAAGTCACCTTGTCGACTCGCGCGGCGGCCACTCCCTTCCCGCGGCTGATTCAGTGTGAACCTTGGCTTTTCCACTGCTGCGCTTGCCTTGTGTTTCCACAGTTGTATTCATTGATTCAGAAGGCAGAGAGGAGACAGCCAGGGGTTGGCTCCCCAGAGGCACACCACGGGGAGGGCTGAGCCAGGCCTCAGGCGAGTGGCAGGGGTCCCACTGCCACCAACTGCTGGCCGGACCGGGACGCAGGTGCTGCAATATGGCGCACTCCTCTGCTGCACCCCTATCCGGCGACCCCACGGTTTCCCCTAGAGTTTCTGATGTGTCTGTGTCCTCAACAGGGTTCAGAGCACACGGTCCCCTCGACAGGGTTCAGAACACACGGCCCCTGCACACGGCTCATGGCCCCCTTTTGGCTGTGGACACTTGGAAAACAGCAGATGCCAGAAGGCCGCTCTGACCATCCTTGTGGTCCCAAGCCTCTACCCCACAGGAAGGCTGCCTTCTACCAGCCACGGGCGGGCAGTGCACCAGAGCAGATTCTGCACGGGCCCTGCTGAAGCCGCTGCCCCCACAGCGCAGCGACACAGCCTCAGGAAACCGGGCACCTGCAAGCCCGGTCCTTGGCCTCTTCCTCACACAGCCCCCGGCCACACAGAACCTGGTGCACTCTCCTGTCGAGCTGTCCCCTGGCCACTTAACTCTCACGCCCTCTGAAACCCACAAACGTCACGCAACGGCTCCTTCTTTGCTTCTGAATTTCACAGATAAGCAACGCCGCCGCCCGCTTTCTGCCGAGACGTGCCTGTTTGCTGGAGACCAGGTCCTTGTGTCCCCTCTGCAGGGCTGAGTGAGGCCGAGCTCGCTCCATGTCTCTGTTGCGGGGGTCGCTTGCAGGGACACAGGGGGCGATGCGGGCCCGCAGGTGCACTGCGCAGTCCTGTGCCCCTCAGCTTTCCTGGGAGCGCGGATGCTCCCATCCGCCTTTCCCGATCGCCTTCCCTCCAGTGGCCACCAAGCTCCTGTCCGCTCCCCGCTTCCAACATCGGGTCTGTTTCTGTCAGTCTGATGGTTGGAAAGAGCATGGCACTTCAGTCCTAACATAGATTCCAGGTCACAGTGAGACTGTGTTCACTGCGCATTTGTTTTTCATTTTTTCCTAGAAGAACCTATTCCTGTATTTGCTAATGTTTCCATCATTGCTGGGCCATTGGTGTGCAGGAGTTTTCCAAATTTTCAAATGCTAATCCTTTACCAAGGAAAAGGGTCTTCTCCCCACGTGACCTTGAAATTCTGCTTATCTCAGGGCACTGCACTGAACGAAAGATCTCACTAGGAGGGCCGTTAGCTATCTTCTGACTTGCACTTTTTCTGTCTTATTTAAGAAATCTTTTCCTCCCTCAAGGTCAAGAATACACAATGCTATTTTCTTTTAGGAATGTGGGAAATGTTCTGTGTACTTGGGACTGATTTCTGTGTGTGGCACGAGGTAGGCCTGCAATTTAATTTAATTTTAATTTTTATTTATTTATTTTGAAGATTTTATTATTTATTTGAGAGGTAGAGTTACAAAGAGAGAGAGAGACAGACAGACAGACAGAGAGAAACGTCTTCCTTCCATTGGTTCACTCCCTAGATGGCCACAATGGCCAGAGCTGCGCCGATCTGAAGCCAGGAGCCAGGCGCTGCCTCCCAGTCTCCCATTTGGGTGCAGGGTCCAAGCACTTGGGCCATCCTCCACTGCCTTCCCAGACCGTGGCAGAGAGCTGGGTTGGAAGAGGAGCGGGAGGGACTAGAACCGGTGCCCATATGGGATGCTGGTGCTGCAGGCGGAGGATTAACCCGCTGTGCCGTGGCATTGGCCCCTGATTTAATCTTCTTTACCACATGGATAACTCATTGCCAAGAAACCTCTTACTAATTTAGGTCAGTTAGCGCCACGGCTGCTGGCTGCTTCTATCGCCGACTGCGTTTTTCAGGTGGAGGAGGTGATGTCCGCTTCCTGTCCTCACTATCTGTTCTCACGTCAGCTCTTCTCCCAGGGACTTTCTCAAAATTCGTGGAAAATACAACTGAGAGCTGAGTTCATTTCGGCACAAACACCGACACCATGCGGGTTCTTCCTCATCTGCGTCTTCCATGGGCTTCTGGAGGATGCATTTCTAAAACTTTTTGCATGCACCAACATAAACCAATCTTCCACTTCCATTTTCCAAAGCCTTCTGAAGTTTTCCCATATCCGGGTCACCTTACTCCGGCTCAGGTGCATCGCACAGCATCTCCTCACGGGGCCTCCTGGAGTCCCCCTCTCTCTCCCTCTCTCTCTCCCTATCCTTTTTCTCTCTCTCCCTCTCCCCCTCCCTCTCTCCTCCCTCTCCCCTCCCTCTCCCCCTTCTTCTCTCTCCCCCTTCCCTCTCTCTCCCTCTCTCTCTCTCTCTCCCCCTCTCTCTCCTTTTCTTTCTCTCTCTCTCTCTCCCTCTCTCTCTCTTGCTTCTCCTTGTCTCCTGCTGCTGCCTGGCTATGATTCTCCAGACCTGCGAGCAGTGACTGGTTCTCATCTGCTATTAAATTCCCCGGGGAGCTGGCGCTGTGGCACAGTGGGCTCAGCCTCTGCCTGTGGTGCCAGCATCCCATGTGGGCATCGGACTGAGTCCGGCTGCTCCTCTCCTGATCCAGCTCCCTGCTGTGTCGCGGGAGGGCAGTGGAGGACGGCCCAAGTCCTTGGGCCCCTGCAACTGCATGGGAGACCGAGAAGAAGCACCTGGCTCCTGGCTTCAGATCGGCGCAGCGGCCATCTGGGGAGTAAACAATGGAAGGAAGACCTTCCTCTCTGTCTCTGCCTCTCTGTGTCTACAACTCTGCCTCTCAGGTAAATCAATACATCTTAAAAAAAAAAAATAAAAAAGAACACTCAGGCCCCGACAGCTCTTGGCGAAGCAAGCTCACTGCTTGCTCATGTGACGCAGGGCTTGGGCCCGGGTGTCTCCAGGCAGCTCGGAGTCCAGGCTCTGTCTTGTGACCCCTCCCGGCGAGGTTTCTCAGGGCAACCCTGCCTTCTGCCCGCAGCTGAGTCCCCTGGGTCCCATGTGCACCCACTTTTAGACTCTGAGTGTTTCTCAGTCCCGGCCAGTTTCCTCACACCTTTGAACAAGGTGGGTTTGTATGTTTCACTTGCAAACATCGTCCTGGGACTGTTAAGGTTTTCGGTGAGAGTCAATCGGATGTTCACTCCCCAGCACTGCCGGAAACACCAGGTGCGTTCTGGGTTTCCACAGACCCCGGGAGACCTCAGCTGGCCCTCTGAACACTCCCTGGGCGATGGGAGCGCTGAGGGGCGCCGCCTGCTGGGGGAGCACACACCGCCAGTCCACACACCTGATGAGAGGCTTGGGCGTCCCTTCAGCCTCACAGCTGAGCTTGACCTTCCTCTCCTCGGAGTCCAAAGGGAACATCACGTGACTGGGCTCCTGGACGAAAACTGGGCCGTGCAGCACGCGGTCGTCTGAAACAAGAAGAGAAGCGGCCACGATGAAGACGGCCCTCCACACGGGCACCCAGGAAGCAAAGGGAGACTCCACGCAGGACGGCGACGCGCGGCAGATCCGGTGGGGCTCTCCCCGAGGACCCATCTCCTGCGGGTTCCCCGGAAGAGAAGGGGCGGCGCCCGCCTCCCTGCTGCCTGGCAGCTCCGCCAAGCTGCCGTCCTGTCCTGGGGGCTGCACTGCCCACCCCACCCCGCCTTCGCTGCACTCCTGGGAGTGCCTCCCGCGTCCCTCGCCTGCTGTCTCACTGCACGAGGCTGCCTGATGTCGCAAGAGATGCCCTTGCTCTCGGGAGTGGACCTGGATAATCGGAATAAGCAGTGATGGCTCTCACACCCTGCCAGTGGAGAGCAGCTGCATGCGTGGTTCATGTAGACAGAGCCTATTAAAATGGCCACCATTCCCGACTCCTCAATTCTGTGCAAGTGATGGAGGGCCAGTTTCTCTGCTGGCCCAGCCGATGTGGTCCCAGCCCAGGTCCACCTTGCACAAATACCACACAACAGGGACCGTGCACAGTGCACACCACATGTGACCCAGCAGCCCTGGACTGGGCCAGTGAGCCGAGCCCGAGGTCCGTGTGCCCCGACGCTGTGGCAATGCCAAGGGGCAACACGTTTCTAAAGGTTTTCTCTTGGTCAACGTTTGTGTTGTCACAAAGGCCAAGGAATGCAGAAATCTGCAAGACACGGTGCAGGAGGCCCTGTGGACACAACGCCACGAGTGGCCACATAGTGCACAATGACCGTCGCCACGAGTGGCCACGCAGTGCGCACTGACCATCGCCACGAGTGGCCACATAGTGCACAATGACCATCGCCACGAGTGGCCATGCAGTGCACACTGACCATCGCCACGAGTGGCCACGCAGTGCACACTGACCAATGCCCCGAGTGGCCACGCAGTGCACACTGACCAATGCCCCGAGTGGCCACGCAGTGCACACTGACCAACGCCACGAGTGGCCACGCAGTGCACACTGACCATCGCCCCGAGTGGCCACGCAGTGCACACTGACCATCGCCACGAGTGGCCACGCAGTGCACACTGACCAGAGAGCAGCTTACTGCCAACAACGGTGAAGGGATCTCCACGTTCAAACATGCTAAAGCTCTTTCCTTCCCTTAAACACACCAATTCAAACTTTCATCTCTCCCACCTCATAAGCTTATCTTTCTCTACGGGTGCACGCATGGCTTCCCGTACCCTGCATTTGGGTTACACACTCTGAGAGCGCCTGCCTGCGTCGTCCCCATTTTTAGTCTCCTGTGGTACCAGTGCTGGCAAGGACGAGGAGACACTCGACGACGGGGATGAGCTGTACTGGAAAGCTGTTTTCTCGCTTTTCCATGCATTCAGTGAGCTCACTTGGGCACTGCCCAGTGAGCTCTGAGACGGCCGCACCAGGGCTCCGACAGCGTGAGGGGCAGCTTCGCCCTGCGGCTGAGATCCACTTCTCAGGTGTGATTACTCTCGAGGCTGTGAACCGCAACCCCTCTCCTGGAAAACCCCCGTAACCGGCCTCTTGTTGGCAGGAGATGAGTTGGGACTGAATCCACTCAGGTGAGTCAGGACTCAGGAAAACAGAGCTGGGTTGGTGTGGGGAGCTGGGTGAACCTGCCGAGGCCGTCGCTAACAAGACTCTTAACCCCAACTTTAAAACCAACAGGCAGCGACCCTTCACGCTGAGGATTCGGCTTCATTTCAGAACGGTGGGGCTGGAGGAGCCTGCGATGTTACACCTGTTCAAGGGGGAGGGGGGCGGGGCTGCCAGGAACACCACACAGGTACGGCCGTACAGACTCGGCACAGAAAGACGTCTCGAGCCATTGCAGCACGCCTCCCATGCAAAATCCCTCTTCTGCAAGAGACTTTAGCCAAGAAAAGAGGACAGAACAGGAGCATGGAATAAACGTGAAAAAAATGCATGTTTAGAAATATTTGTTGTCTGAAGCCAGAGATTGCAAAACCCAGACATTTATATTTTGGATTTTCAACAATTACACACACACTTTCAAAACCCCCGCAGGGACCGGTCACGGGTTAGCTGGGTTCCACTGCGAGGTATTAGGTGAACTTTTGGCACTTCTGGTTGAATTCCACGTCACTCATCCAGATCACTAGCTCAGCGGCAAGCGTGGGAGATGTTCTCTGAGAGATAAATATTTCTATTGTCCCCAGCTCCCACATTCTCTGTGTGTATATATAATATCAATCATCTCAATTCATCGGTGCGCCCTGATTTGAATTTCATACAGAAATACACAGCCTATTACTGGTAATTCCAAATAAGAAGACGCACAATGCCGATTTCCCAGCATGCAGCTGGAGGGCTAAGGCTGAACATCTGTACTCTTTCCCAGCGCAGCCGTGCTCTATTTAAATAACAAAAAGGATATTTTTTCGGTGTGTTTTGTAACAAGACCTGATAATAATGATGATTTACATTCGCTATAAATAGCACGCGCCCTCTGAAGTCCTGATTTTCCCTGGCTGAGCGCGCCCAGCGCCTGGAAGACACTGCCCGCGTACAGGAGCCCCCGCTCTTCACGCAGGAGCGCCGGGCTTCAGGACGCCTCGCTATCCAGGTGCAGGACACAGCACAGTCACAGCCCCTCAGAGCTGGGTACCAGTACCGCAGAGACGGAAGCGTGGCTCTGCTTCCCCAGAGCACCGGTCCTGGGCGCTGCGTCCTCAGCACAGACGCCTGGGGCGACGCCAAGTTGGTCTGACTTCAGCCCGGAAGCCACAAGGTGACGTCCAAGGCCCCCGAACACAGAGGTGTGCATGTGCCCTCCCCACGCCTGGAAGGCAGAGCCCTCCCCCCCAACAGGTTTCTCTGTGGCAAGGGATTTCCTTCTAAAGGGCAAGTGTGGCGTTTGCACACACGCCGGAGGAGGACCAGGATTTCAGAGGGCGCTGTGTCCCCCAGGGGGGTTGCACACCCCGTGCGTGGCAGCCACAGCAGCCTACGGGATGGAGCTGCCTCAGGCTGGCCACACCCGAGCAGCCGAGGGGCTGGTGGCTGTCCCCGCCCGGCCTCCAGGTCATCCTTTCCAGGCCTAAGTCTGAGAACCTCTCGTTCACACACTTCCGTGCCTCAAGGTCACACCGCCTGCCACGCTGCTTCTCCTTCAGCCCGACCTCCTGTGTGGGGACAGTGTGAGCAGCACACCCCCGCGTGACCAACTCACTTCTTCTATTGGATCCATTTCCTAAAATCTTTTTTTTTTTCAGTGTTTTGTCACTCAACCTCTTCTTCCTGCTCCTCCCAAAAGCCTTCCAGAAACAGCCCGGCGTTGGAGCTACTGGAAGATTTTCATTACTGAAACAGGCACAGAGTTTTGAGGTCGGAGAACATTATTTAATCTGAAGTGCATCTTCCCAGGTCACAGACTAAAAATATACTGTATCTGTAATGGAGCCAAAAATGGTTTTTTGCCTAAAAACAAGATGCCTGTCTAAGGCGAGCAGGAACAAGGCTGCTGCGTGGTCCTTGGGGTCACTTGTTCTGTGTGCAGTTGGGGGACATCGATGGCCTCTATTTTTTCCTCTGAGCTACTTTTGCACGTGCAAGCAATTCTAGAACTCACGGGGCCAAATCAGACAGCCGGCACCACCCCAGGACAGACATCTCATCGACGGCAATTGTCAGCACGAGAGACCACGGTTGAGCGCTGCCTACAGCGATCAGTTCTCAAGGCACAGTGCAGGATCCACCTGCCTTGGTTTCGCCACAGCCAAGGGGGCTTCGTAGCAGCCAGATGCTTGGACCTCACTCACACCGACTGGATTTCTATTGTCCAGGATCAGGAAAAGGACTGGCCACCCAGCAAGCCATTTCTGTGCTTTGTAAAGTTCGAAAAATCATTGCCTTCAGCTGTGGACTGAGTACAACGTGCAGCCCTACAGCAGTAAGAGATTCCGGGAAAGAAAGAGCAGAAGTCAGGGCTTGGTTCCTGCGCTAGGTCTCTCCGGGGCTGCTGCATGGCGGGAGGCCCCGGACTGCCCGAGCGGCTGTGCGGGTGGCACATCTCCCCGGCCTGAAATGTCCCCACCCACTAGGAACTCAGGGCACCCGCGCGCCTGGCAAGATGACGACGTCTCTGGAGACCCCAAGCTGGGATCTGCCGTGGCTGCGGTGAGCCCAGGTGTTGCACCGAGGGCCGCTGAGTCCCTCAGCCCTAATTCCAGGCAAGAAGTGCTGCAGGGACAGCAAGAGCCTCATCTGAGACCTATGAGTGGATCATTCTTCCCCGACATCAAACGTCTGATGGAGCACCTGGTACCGGCTGAACGCCTAGCAGGGACCTCAGTTTGGGAGTGAGCTGCAGGACTGGGGGCGGGGGAGGCACAGAGGCGTGCCCGTGAGTGGAATGCCAGCCAGGGAGGGCTGACGGGTGGTGGAAGCTGCAGGGTGGGCTGACCGTGCTGGAGGCCAGAGAGCTGGGCTGCCGTGTCTCTCACCCTGTGCCCTGCAGAGCCCTGAGAACAGAGCGAGCCGCCCCGTGTGTGAGACCAGGGGCAGGCGCTACCTACTCGCCTGCAGAGCAAAGCCTGGAGCGAGCACAGGGACGGTCCCAGCAGCCTGGCCGATGTCCTGCCTGTCTACTTCCTCTCTCCAGGCCATGGAGGGGAGGCCAGGCTGCAGGGCCATGGCTCACACTGCCACCACAGTGTCACACGCAGGGCACACACTGGGCCTGCAGTGTCCTGCGGGCTGGGAGCCTTCCGCCCCTCCTTGCTAATGACCACGGAGACTCATCCTGGCTAAAGAGCTGCACGGTGGGCAGCATCTTGGTGCACCCACGTTACTCACAAAATGCAAAGGCAGCAACCTAAGGCCAGGCAGGAACAGACGAGGGGCACGGCGATTCTCTGAGCGTGAGAATTCCTTAACCCAACCCCGGACCCCAGCAAGGACCACGGAGCAGCCACGGTCACCTGCCACTACAAATGT